TTATGTGAGTAACTGTTGCTGCTATGACTGAGATCTATTTCAGCACTGCTATCAAAGTATTTATTTATTTATATTTGTTGCCGCTTTCAAAGCACCATAATCTGGCAGCGGGCCAGATATTATTGTTGGCGGCCAGTTTTGGCGATGGACCATAATCAATCAATCGAATTAATGTGTTTCCCTTGTCAGTGTTTGTATAAACTTTATCTAATGTGTGGTTTATAATGGACTGTGATGCAGAAACAGAGAGCTTCACACTCTTGGCTCACATTTTCCATGTTGTCTTTCTGTGGCCAAGTCACAATAACAAATGAATAACATATAATTTCTTAATAAATATACCAACAGAAACCTCATTTCTTGACTGGCCACTCTCTGCTGTCTCAGAAGAGACACCTTTTGTGCTGTTGTCAGCACAAATTCTGTCATATTGGGTATCATATCAATTTCGACTTAAACGTTGATTAAATTCTGACACACTGAAATAAAAACTGTAGTCTAGACCTACTTAATCTTGATCCAAATACTGGCAGCCCTGATTCTACTATTACTACCACTATTACTCTTATAGGCTGAAATTATTAATATTTGAATGATTAGGAAATCAGCTGGAGGAAAGACGCCTCACTTCAGTCTCTTCAGTCCCTTTTTTAAATGTCTTCTAGTCTTTACCCGAGGGACTTGACTGACAACACTGGCATATTTTTCTGGTAATACATCGTCTTATACAGCATAACAATATTAAACAATTCCACATAGAGCAATACGCGCGTCCTCTCTTCAGGTTAATGTTTGTAACCTGAGGGAGTTGATCAGTCCCACTCCAGATCTATCCTGACAACCTATTTCTGCTGTCAGGGAGGAATGCTGCAGCCAGCCTAGACCTGCACGCTGCTGCTGCAGGGGAACGTACACACACACCCACACACACAGCCAACCTGATTTTCCAGGCTGTCTGAAGAGTCTTGGTTCTGGGAAAGTTACTATTGAGGAGGAACATTAGAATCTCAATGCTTAAAAATACAGCTACAAAATATGCAATTATGCAAAATTGCTGCAGTTGTATTTAATAAATGTACCATCATATCAGAGAGCATTTCATCTAGAAAGTAACACATTTGCTCGATCAGAGGACAATTTAAAGCAAATGTAAATTACCCCTAAAACTTGTCAGTGGAGATGCACTAATCCGACTTCAAAGTCTCAATACCTGAGCTTTGGGTTTCGGCTGATGTCGAGTATCGATCCAATAAAATTAAAAAATAATAAGCTGTCTTCCTCACAATGAGGAAGAGACTGGGAATGGTGTTCTTTGCCATGAGACTTCTGGATACTTGATTAAGTTGCTTGTGTTATATTTTATATGACGAAACATTGGCTCTGCAGATATTGCAAGTGGCCGTAGAACTTGTTAGTGTAACAAGCATGAAACCCCTCCAAACGGCTGACTCCTTGTTTCTAGCTCCCTCCATGATGTGTTAGCTCTCGTACCAAAATGTTGGGGTCTACTCGCGCACTGCTGATATCAATGTCACATTGGCGCATCCCAACAGTGATAATAAACTGTCCCTTTACCTCCGGCAGGTATGAATAACAACATAGTAATTAATAATTTCCAGCAGCTATTTAAGACAACGCAAGTTATTTATTGTTTTGTTGTTTCCTATTGTTGGACGTTGGCTTCACATACCAAAGGAAAAGGCAGGCAGCAGAGCAATATCTAGACTCAAACATTTTTTTTTTATCTATGTGGAACATGTGCTTAACATAACAGGAATTACAAAACATCTAAAGTCAATTGCGGTTGAACTTAATAAGAGATTTAAAAACGACACCAGAGCAGCTTTATTGCTCTGTTAAGCTTCTTCTCTCATCAAAACATACAGCAGCATTCTTCATCATCTGATATATTTGCCTTTTAAAAATCTCTCTTTCAACAAATCTCTCTGGGCTAAATATAGCTAATGATGGCGCTGACAGGTCCAAACATAGCCTGTGCTGTTGTATTTTAAGTGTGTGACTGGCTGTGTGGAACAAGTGGATCATATAATAGGACTCGGACAGAAACAGGAAGCTGGAAGATATGAAACTATTAATACTAAAATACTATTCATAGTGTCTGCTCGCCCGCCTGAGTCGCTCACCACGTCGCTGACAAACTCACACACACTCAAGAGGAGAATATCGCAGCCAGAGGCGTCACACAAAGCTGTCAACTCATATGGCAAATGAATCTTGAGTGGGCCAGTAAACACACACACACTTTTCTGGTTTTGTTAATGTCCCATCAGGCACAGTAAATGGCCTAAATGAATAGCTCAAATAGGTCTTTACTACTGGGGGGGGGGAAGAAAGAAGAAAATGCACTTGTTGATGCACACACACACACACAAACCTTTAACAAGAAGTGTCAAGGTTTGTATTAATTACATTACATGTACTCATTTAGCTGACACTTTTATCCAATGCAACTTACAGTTGCTATATATATATATATATATATATATATATATATATATATGTTACTAGGGGTTAAGTGTCATTGGTGGATGTGTGGAAGTGGGAATTGAACTCAGATCTCACACACGAAAGGCATGTGTCTTATCCAACTGCTTTTAAATTGTAAATATTTTCTGGTTTCTTTACTCCTGTATATATTCAGTTTACTGAATACCTTTGGGTTGTGGAAAAAACAAGACATTTGAGGACGTCACTTTGGGCAACGCTAATCGACATTTTTCACCATTTTATGAACCAAACAACTGATCGATCAGTCGAAAAATTAAAATAATCGTCAGCTGCAGCCCTATTCACAAACCTTCAATAGTCCAGTTCCTCTGTTGCATTTCCCCTTATATTCAATACCTATTTCCTCTTTGGACAATCAGTTCAGAGACCACTGGACAAGGATACTGATTCTTCAGAGAGGAATAAAGTACGATAAAACGGTTTTTGGGGGGGGGTACCTGGCACATCCAGTATAAAAACATTGCTCTTCACATGAAAGCTGAGCAGGAAACAAGACTGTGTTCGGTTCATTTCAGGTCCAAAAATCAGCTAAAGCAATGCTGCATCGCAAAACACATCCTCTCCACACTGATGGGACGTTAAAAGCCGTGATGTAACCGGACACAAGCACCAACACCAACAGAAAAATCATTCAGTCTGTTAAGTGCGGTTTCCAGTAAATGACTGAGCAACAGTCTAAACACCAACGCCCATTCAAACATCAACCTTTTAAATCTTTCTGTGTTGTGTATTACAGTATATGGTATTAACGCGGTGTTATTATTAATTACCCCAGGAGTAATTACTGAACTATAACGTTACATCTCATTCATTGTGTGCACAGACCGCCTGACAGCAGCTGCTGCTGCACTTGACAGTCCTTATATATCTGTTGCTAAACCACCTAACGTAAGGCTAACTGACAACGAGCAGGCACCAGGACTCCTCCAGATAAGTTGACCGATTTGAGAGACAAACAAACACACAAACAGAGAGCGCTTATCTAACCAGAAAACAAACCTTGACTGCCATTGTGAGCTCTGACACCAGTGAGCGGAATACCAATTGGTTAGCTAGGTTAGCTAACGTTAGCCTAAGTTAAGATGAAATGCCTCTGGATAAAGTTGACAAACTTTGTCAAAGTAAAAAAACGGACAATACCGGGTCAAAAACCGTTAGACAACCCGAGACAGTTGGGCTCAATGTGCAGGTTTACACACATGCGCTAATGGTGTAAATTAGCCAGCTTTTTATCTTTGCTAAAGTTAGCCGGCTAGCTGTCCGATAATGGACACAGGAACGTTAAAGTTTGGAGTCGCTAACTTGGAGCTAATCACAGCTAGCCGCGCTCCCTCAGCTGGGTGACGCCGCGGGTCCAGCTGCCTTCACAGGGACGTACTTACCGGAGGGTCGGTCCGATACAGTTGGTGTCTGTGCTCTCGATCTCCCGAAGGATACGCTCGTGTTCGGCGGCTGTCTCCACACTCGCCATCCTGCATGTTGCTCAGGACGGTTCCGAGCTGCGAGCTGAGCGGACTGTCTGGGCTCCGTGCGTCACGCAGGAGGAACCGGAGGGTGAGTTCGATGTGCGTACAGAAGCAGCCCGAGTGAGCGGAGTTTCCCCCATGTTTAAACCGGTTTTTTTTCGTTAGTGTTTCATGAGGGAGGATAGGACACACCTGTACAGTGTTTCATGTTGCAACAAATAGGCTATTTGAATGAATACATCAAGTTTAATAAGGTGGTTCATTTAAACTAAAACTAATTTAAAGGTTCCCCTACCTGCCATTCAGCTGATAAACATATTTGCACCTTCCCTACAGTTTCAGCCCCCCCCCCCCCCAGTATATGCTCACCCACTCAAAATGTAAGCAAACTGTCATTACGTTTAGTTTGATCTCATTTAAATACTAACTTTCAAACAACTTGCATTAATTCAAAGCGGACTGAAGGGATAATTTGCATAAATTCAACATCCCTACTGAGATTAATTTGTAAAGCAGGGTCTGGGGCCCTCCACGGGTCAATGAGAGTAATACAGAGGGCTCAGCAACTTTAAAAATGCTCTTTATTATTGTTTAATTTCAAGGGAAATAAGCCTACATAAAGATGTCACACACACACACACACACACACACACACACACACAGTGTCAATAAGCTTCCTTCCAATTACTTCTTACTTCTTCTAAAATACAAGACAATTTTATCAATTTACCGGAAACAAATTGTGGGAGTGACTGGTGTCCATGGGGTCATGTCTCAAAACATCTTTTGCTTTTGTAAAAAGTTTGCAAGACGCTTCCTCTCAATTTAAAAATAAAATATATGCTATATGCTATAAGGGACCTCACTTTTAACTAATGATACAATTTTAGGTCGTTGTTTTAGCGCATATTTGACATAATAGTACTTTGGTACAGTATTTTGCGACAGGTACTGCACAGTTCTGCAAAATAGGCAGTGACCCTTTTATACAATTAGATCAATCATACGCTTTTATTTTGTAGGCACAATCGCATTATTTCCGGTGTTTTCTTGCACATTCTGGGCGATTTCTGTCTTCTGGTTCAAGTTGCTGTGGGAAAGGAAACGAAGCCAAGACAAGTGTTAAAGCAATGGAGGTAAACATACATTTTTAAATGGTATTATCGATCAGTGAAGAGATGCACTGAGCAGTGAGTGATTCTGATTGTGAATTTATGCAGACATGAAGAATGACAGTGTGTAAACATGAGTGTTTTGTTAGCCTGGTTGAGTTAGCCTTGCTGTGCACACTTGCCACTCAGGATCAGAGTCCACTGCAGCAACGTAAGTGAAGGAACAGCTGTAAATCCCACATTTTACAGTGTGTTGTTGTTGCATATAACACTTTACTGTGCAGCTTCTGTAAACTTGGGTTGTGCTGTGTGTGTGTGTGTGTGTAATAAGGACTCTTACGTGTGTGTTTATGTGAAAAATTAAACGGATCCAAGAACTAGCTGGAGGGATTACATATCTCTTCTGGCTTGGGATCCCCCAGGTGGAGCTGGAAGGTGTTTCTGGGGAGAGAGGTGTCTGGAATACCCTGCTTAGCCTGCTGCAACCAATCCTGGATAAGCAGGACATAATGGATGGATTGTATTAAGTGAGCTTATTTACATTTTGTAAGACCTTTCTTTATTTCTCTCTCTCAGCCCAAAAAGAAGTTGATAAACTCAGCAGATAGCTGTGTGGACGAGGCTCTCTGTGGCCTCGTGAGGGCCAGTGGGGGCCTGTCTCTGCTGAAGGGCCACAGAGTTGTGCTACGGTCCGACCTGGACAATCTGAGAGGCAAAGTGGCCCTGCTGTCTGGAGGAGGTTCGGGACATGAGCCGGCACACGGGGGTACGGTTTTTATAGTTTAAAATGGAGTCTTTAATGATCTCAGGTCTTTATATTTCACATTTTACTTTCTCTGTTGTCTTCAGGGTATCTTGGGGCAGGTATGCTGTCAGCAGCTGTAGCAGGTGGAGTATTTGCTTCTCCACCTCCTGCCAGCATCCTGGCTGCCATCCTCTCCCTGCACAATGCAGGTAATGTACTCTTTTTTTTTTTTTTTTGGCTTTCTGTTTGTGCATGTTTATTGACTGATCGTATGTCAATTCATTAATCAAAGACATGTCAAGTACAAAATGACTATATAAACTTATTGTGTTAAAATAAGTTTAAGACAATACTGTGAACGTTCATTTAAAGAACAATGAAATGAAATGACTATTCACTGAAGAATAACGACCCTACTCCCCCCACAGGAGCCTCCGGAGTCCTTCTCATTGTGAAGAACTACACCGGCGATCGCCTCAACTTTGGACTGGCAGCAGAGCAGGCCCATAACCACGGCGTCGCTGTTGACATGGTGATAGTAGCAGAGGACTGCGCCTTTGACCAACCCAGCAAGGCCGGGAGGAGAGGCTTGTGTGGCACCATCTTCATACACAAGGTAAACAACAACAACAATGTCATGCATGGCTGTTAGTGCTTTACCTTGGAAATAATAGAGTGACAGAAAAAAAACTTAACTCAAGGCAACCTCCATACTCACAAATGGAGGTTTCTCTGTTATCAGTTTGCTCAGCTATTTCCATGACGGTCTAGCAGATCGTTGCACTTCTTCTAAAACTTCAAATTCAAATACTTATAGAGTTGTTTATCCAAATAAACATCCGTAAGACTTTTTTTTTTCTTTCACTATCTTCTTGCGAGGGTCCAGTTTTGTCACCTCATAGGGTCAGTTTCTATGTTTAAGCCTAGTCCTATAGACTTAGGATTTTTTCATAAAGTTTTATAAATCAAGAGAAAAAAGATATTCAGATGAATAAATGTGAATTAGCACTGAAATCTCAACAGCTCAGGAGTTTACATTTCCATTCTTTGTATAATTAATAAATAATTTGTATAATTAATAGCATCTCATTTAAACATTTTAAAATATGTGTACTTTTAGTGTGAATTGTATTTTTTTTTAGGCCAAGATTGATTTTAAATGAGTGCTTCAGCAATTTAGAGTTGCAATTCTATACACTGGATCCTACATTTCCCATCATGCAACTCAACAACACAGATGTTTTGTTTTGTTTTTAAAAATACCTCATGATACTTGGTCACACTTTCTGTCAGCTGGCAGGTGCCTTAGCAGAAGAAGGCTGCTCATTGGACCAGATTGTTTCCAAGGTGACAGAGATTTTGAAGGGAATCGGTGAGTCTCCGTTTTTGCTCACTGAAAGCTTGGCAGAAATACTGAGATGCTTTCGCATATTGCATTGTGGTTTTTGTTGCAGGTACATTGGGGGTGAGTCTTTCTCCGTGCAGCGTTCCAGGCTGCCTGCCTTCCTTTGACCTGCCTCCAGGAGACATGGAGCTGGGACTGGGTGAGCGAAGATGAAGAAATGGAGGAGGAGAATTTGGAAAGTGGAATTGGGCAAAAGAGAGAGGGATAGAGAGTAAGGACAGATTACGGATTGTAGGTCTGATACCAAATAATTAAAATTTTCATTCTTGAGGTAATAAAAAGTCTCTGCCAGACATTTTTAACACATAATTAGATTTAAATTTAGATGTGTAGACCCCTTTCCTATCATTTACTTTGTTTATTCAACTGTTGGTTAAAAAATTATCATATTTGAAGAGACTGTGAAACTGTTGGGTGTATTCAGGATTTTTTTTCTTTTTGTTGATGATAGCTGGGACCCGCTTTGCTTGGAATTTGATTTTGTGGAACAATAACTGAATAGCACCCTCTAGTGGCTCGTGTTGCAATACATTGGAAATTGGTAATGGAACATCAAAATAGCATAACGTGAACTAAATTACAACATTATCAGTTGACTAAAATGACAAAAAGACATTTAAAACCTGTACTCAGTGGTATCCAGCCTTTCATAGTTCTGTTTTTACGAGCCACATTTTTGAGATATCTGTCTCCACTCAAATGCAAAGGGGTTAAATAGGATTACATTTGTGACTCAACAGCAGCTTGTCTTTCCAGAAACAATAACCAGGTTAGTGTTGATAATAATCCTAATAGAAATGGTGACCTTGAGGTCTGTTTACCTGATTGTAAAGGGGTGGAAGCAGATGTGGATGTGTCAAAATCTCAGCAGAGAATCTGCTATCTTTGTTTTGTTTTTTTACTGGGTGAACCTCAAATGTATGACGAGCACTGAGGTTTTCCTCCGTATTGTTTCTATTTTTGACTGAATTGGGGTGCTGCTCTAAGAAGTACAGTGTATCTATGAACCCAAATATCTACTAAATCTCCCATGTCAAAGTATATCTTAGAAGGATGGGCGGAGACAAAACTGAGAGAGGAGAACGGTGGGAGAGATTTTGTAGTAAGCTTGGGCATTTCTAAATGTTTAACTGGTGTTTTACATCTTCTTCAGGGATCCACGGTGAACCTGGAATTAAAAGGTCAAAGGTGATTCAGATTCAGCATACATCTACTAATTATACGACTGTTTACCTTTTTTCTCTTTATATTGTCGTTCATCTGTCTGAGTTTTATTAATTTATCCTGTTCAGGTGGCATCAGCAGATGAGGTGGTGAAGACCATGATAGATCACATGACCAACCCCGACAGCCAATCACATCTGCTTCTTAAGTCAGGTGCTCTAACTATAATAAATTATATCTCTATTTACACTGATAGGGCTGGCAATAAAACAATAATGATAATTATCACAATATAATTTTAAATAAATGTTTGGTTTGAATTAGTTCTATTAAGACATTTTTTTTCTTGAGGAAAAAGGACTGACAGAAGATTTTACTCTATTTTACTCATGCATATTTGTTGAAAAAATATTTCATCAATTGTTTTTCATGTTCTACCTCAGATTTGTTAAGTGATCCACTGTTTGGCATTAACTGTTTGTTCTGACCATAAAGAAAAGTTTAAAACCACAATTAACCATCTGGTTTCTTCAAATTTCACTCAAAAATCAGCCTTTAAACTTGAAAGAAATAATGATTTGACATTTATTGTGAAAATTATCGATACTGAATGATGTGAAATTTTTTTTTATCGTGATATCGCCCAGCCCTACTTTAAATGTATGTATCCGTGTTGTATTTGGACTCTGCATGTGAATCCTTCTTCTTTTATACAGGAGACACTGTGGTTGTGTGTGTGAACAACCTCGGAGCTCTGTCCTGCCTGGAGATGGCTGTGGTTACAAGAGCGGCCATCATCTGTCTGGGTAAGTAGACCGTGTTGGTGTTTATGGATACATTTGCTCATCTGTGTTCATGTATGTAGATAGATAGATACATACTCTTCAACGGTAAACGTCTCTGAGGATGTTGTGGAAAGTGATTGGCTGTTTCTGCTGTTGCAGAGAGTCGAGGCGTGGTGGTTGCCAGGGTCATGTCCGGGTCATTCATGACATCGTTGGAGATGGCGGGAGTGTCACTGACCCTGATGAGAGCCGACCAGGAAACACTTCGACTGTTTGGTGAGCATACACATGCACGCGTTTGTCTTGCTGTAGTTACCCTAACCCTGTTCTTAAAGTTCAATAGTTCAATAGAATGATGAAGATGATATCTGTGTGTTAAAGGATTGCACCTTTAGATAAGATGGATTTTTGTTTAAAATACTCAAAGAAATGAACTAAGCAACACGCCATAGTTTCAGCTGGGAGATGTGCAAGAGGCAAGTTTGTTACACAGTATCTCTAAGCTGTTTTAGTCTTATAAATAAACTAATAAAGTGTTAAGAAAAGAAATATCCAGACACATATTTTCCTTATCAAACTCTCTTTTGCCTTATTAACTCATGATACTTATTTGAAACTTTGTCTTGTCTAGTCCATTGCTTGACATGGGGAAGCCAAACTAAGTCCTACTTTAAATCAAGTCGTTACCCTAAAACTGCTCTTTGAACAGTCCCTCCAGAATTTCGCAGCTATTAATACAAATTCAACAAATCCCAATGAATTCAGCCTGACTTGCAATTTTGACCAGACATTGCAACTTTTCTGCTTATTTGACCTATCAACGCCATTTCCCTGCAAAATTCTGTCATCAGTGTGCAAAGTGAGCTTTTCTGTCCACCAGCCAATGGCTAGTGAATGCTCAAAGTGTACCAGCCACTCAATAGATTACCATTGTTTTTTGGCTCGTGAGTGATGTAAATCTACCAGCCGTTTACATATTTTACCTGCATTTGGCTGATGGCTGTTGCTCCCTGGTCATACGTCAGCCAGCTCACTTCCTTGTTTACATGTTGCAGCAGACATGTGTGATGCCAACGTCTCACACTTGCCTGCAAAAATAACAGCAACTGATCGTGACAAACAGTTTCCAGATCTTCTTTACAAAAGCGGGCGCCGAATGTTTTGCAAAATGTGTAGTATTGTGGTCAAATATAAAAAGAAATCATCTATTAACAAACACTTTTAATGCAGAACATTTGCGGAGAGTGGCAGAAACGCAAGGAGGGCTTCAGACTAGAAAAGACTAGTATGTATGATTTAGTTTAGGAATAAAAAGTCTAGTGTTTAAACATTTTGAGAAAGCTTTTAGTATAATTATAAAGTTTGAAAACATCACATCTACCTTTGGAGTTTTCACTTATTCCCACATTTTTATTGCAAAAAAATGTCCAAGAACTTTCATCACAATTTTTTTTTTTTAAAGCTGCCGCAAAATCTGGCATTTTTGGCGCCACAATCACAAAAAAGCCCTGCGAAATCCTGGAGGGACTGTTTGAAGGAGTGAGGAAAGGCAAAATGTCCTCACTTCCCAGAAATGTCTTCATTGGGTTCAAAACTGTAATGATCCTCACAAAGATATAATTACAACAACAAAACTCACACACATATTTAACATCCTCTATCCCATATAGATGCTAAGACTAGCGCCCCCGCCTGGCCAAACCTCAGCAGTGTGTGCGTAAGCGGACGCTGCTACATCACAAATCCTCAAGCCATGAGCTCGCGGCCACAGGACGACACACACTCTGAAGGTTAGTTTCACAGGTTACAGTGTGTTCTGACAAAAATAAATAACTAATTTAATAAATAAAGTATGTCTGTTTTTTGTTTCTGCCAGGACCTCTGAGTCCGGTGATGCGTAAAGCGTTAGAGAGAGTTTGTTCCACGCTGTTAGAAAAACAGGAAGAACTCAACTCCCTGGACCGTGCTGCAGGGGACGGAGACTGTGGGAACACTCACTCACAGGCTGCTAGAGGTAGAAAACACTGTGTTCGTATCAGCATCAAGGAACAGACATGATGAAGTATTGATTTTTAAAGTTGTGAAAATCGTCATTAAGCCATTCAGGAGTGGCTTCAGGATCACGTGGTCCCTGGTTGTCCTGGGAAACTGTTATTAGTCCTCGCAGGATTGGTGCAGGAGAAGATGGGCGGGTCTTCAGGAGCGGTAAGTCATTAATCGACAGCTTACACTATCTTTACCCGCACACACACACTCATCTTCATGGGTCTTTCAGTTGTACAGTCTGTTCCTGACTGCTGCGGCTGGTCATGTGACTGAGGGGCGGAGCAACGCCACAGCCTGGGCTAGTGCAGTGCATGCTGGGACTCAGGCCATGAGGAGGTGCGGGGCTGTGTGTCTGGCTGTGTTTATTTTTGATATACCTACATGTCTTTGTGCATTGGTGTGCTCTTTGCATGCATGTGTGTTGTGGTGTTATGTGGTTTTCTAGTAAATGTAGAGGGCTAAATAAAAAGTAGACCAAATCTGAGAAATAAGAATAAACAGAACAAAGAAGAGAAGCCATGGGGTGGCTTTCAGAGACTGAATAGAATATCAAACTATGCCAGAATTGCTGAAACACTTAGTTAATTATTTGATTTGATTGGCTAAAAATGTATCGGTTAAACAGTTTGAAGTTATTTCTCTTGGGAAAAACTCATGTATTAAACTATAACAATTAATTGATCTGATAGATTAAACATGAAATAGTGAAATTTATTTACAATCTAAACAATCTGTAACTGTCTTGCAGATACGGTGGCGCTGACCCTGGAGACAGAACGATGGTGATGGATGCTCATTTCTCTGCTACTTTTCATGCATCTTTTGTACTTTGAAAAATATTTCCTGGTTAATATATTTCTGTCCTCAGCAGCAAAATACTGATAAATAAACCAGCTATCTGTTTCGGTTTCTCTCCCGCTGTAGTTGGATGCTTTATGTCCTGCTGTGGAGGAGCTGTTGAAGCTATCCACATCACCACCTGGTGGACAGTTGGCTGTGCTACAGACTGCTGTGCAGGTATGATAGCATACTTTAAAGAGGTGGTATTATGCTCATTTTCAGGTTCAAAATCTTATTTAGAGGTTGGACCAGAACAGGTTTACATGGTTTAATTTTCAAAAAACACCGTATTTTTTGTCATACTGCACATTGCTGCAGCTCCTCTTTTCACCCTGTGTTGAAGGCTTCATTTTAGCTATGTAGTGATACATCTTGTCTCTAAATGATCTTTGTTGGGAGTTGCACATGCGCAGTTCCTAGTTAAGGACTACTAGCCAATCAGAAGCAGAGAAGGGTGGGTCAGCGAAAAGACCGTAAACAGCTTCGATTCAGCTGTAGGCTACATGTTGCCGACCAGGTTGAAAATTTGGACTGGAGCAAGAGTTTCAGAACTGCAGATGAAAGCAGATTTTTTTTAATTGTTGACTTTTTTTCACTTTAAGCGTGTGCGTTCATATATCCCTTAGGTTGACGTACGTTTTGCCTTCCTTTCCTCTCTCTTCCTAGAAAGCGGCCTCAGGGGCAGAGTCCACCCGTGACCTGACAGCAAAGGCGGGGCGAGCCAGCTACATCGCAGCTGAGCGGATCAACCTGCCTGACCCCGGCGCTGTGGCTGTAGCAACCATCTTGAGAGCCGTGCTAGAATCGCTGGAAGGGCAGAAGTAATCCTGCAAATAGTGTCTGATCAGATTATTACCATCACCAGACTAATAGTAACAGAAGAGATCTGTTTTGCCTCACTAACAAACAAAATGTGACTAAATGATATTTGTGATCATTACCTCTCTGAGGCTCAGATTTGCAAGCTAATTTAAGTTTAACACAATAAATAGGCTACAGTGAATGGAGACAAAGTAGATGCCTGATCAGTTTAGGAAATTGTAAAAAGACAAATGTAAAAAAACAAACAAAAATATTGTCAGAATTAAGGCCAAAGAGGAAGCAAAGCATTAGCTACCTGCACTTTCCGTAATCACATATCTCATCAGACTGTCCTTGCCGGGTGAACACCCACGTCTTTCAAATAACTAGCTTGCAGTTTGTAATGCAGCCTTTCTGCTGAACGCGTGTTGTCTCCTCCTCATGATGAGCCAGCTGATCTCTCTGTATAGCCGGAGTGCTCCACTTAAGACTAATAACACATCCTGATTCATCGTGTGTTTTGAAATCTCATCGCTCTTTCATGTTCCAAATGTTGTACATGGATTAAATGCACTTTCTTGAGACAACAGTGTTGATTCAAACTAATAAAACAACTATTATGCTGTGTATATGCAGTTATAATATATATTAGCAAAGTGTCTGTGTGTGTGGTTTTTACAGCACTCCAGTCTCTGTAGTCTACACAAGGAGACCAATGCATGTGTATTTATGAGGTCAAAGCTCAGTGAGAAATGGGAGACACACATTCTGCTAAACCTTTTATACATTTTTACGATTGATTTTCTCTGCAGATACAAATCTTTTTCTTCTTTCTTTCAACACTTCTGCTCTTCCTTTTAACTTTCATTTCTCTCTCTTCCTCACAACTACAAACGCTGCGTCGACTTCCTGACACACAAGCACGGTATTGCTTTTTTAGACTTTGAACACGCCCACACATTCACACATATTTATAAAACCGGCTGCGTTACTAACACTTGCTTTCAGTTTTAGCAACACCAGTGTTCACAGACCACGACAAAGGTAATTATATTTTTGTTGTACAGTAATGTGTATGTGTTCTTTGTGATAAATCATAATAATCAGCTGCCATATTGAGATATGACCAAAATCATTTGTGGTTTCACGTGTGTGTGTGTGTGTGTGTGTGTCCTAACGTGCCATTCATTTGCATTTTCTGTTTTAAAATTGTATGAAGTTTCAAAGTTCAGTCCTGTTCCCTTTAGAACTGACATATCAGCTGCTAGACAACAGACAACATAGTGAAATCCACCAATACTTTTTATACTTTTTAACATGTAGAAATTCACTGTTAGACTACAACAGAATATAAGCAAGGTTTAATAATACAAAGTTTTTAGCACAAGAGAATCCCAGAGCTTAAGTTAGTAATTCAAATCCTATGAATGATGTGTATGAAAACTGAAAGCAAACATTATTATTGTGTACAATTTATGGTATGCATTCTGTATAGCATATCTGCAGCTGCAGATCAGGCCTGAAGATTTAGGCCTTTAATTAATGTCTTACTTTAACATTCAAATTTATTGTCCTGTTTTATTTTGTTTTTATTTCCTATTTAACCATTTTGTAATTGTATTTAAATGTCTTTTTTTTTTATTTCCCTGTCTTCCTTTTATGTTTTATGTAAAGCACTTTGAATGACCTAATTGTGGAAATGTGGTATACATATAAACTTGCCTTGTGGCAACTGGATGTAATAAGGTCAGTTAGTTTTTTAGTGATAGAAAAGTTTTAAACTTGTTTAAGATGGACAGTGTATGAAGATATGCTGATAAAAGCACATTTGAATCTGTTACACACAGAAAAGTTAGACATTTTGGAGAAATACACTTATTGTGGAGAGTTAGATGTGAAGATTGATACCACTCTCTGCCCATAATAAATATAAATATTAAACAAGAGTCAGGACATGGTCGGCGGTTCAATCCCTGGCTCCCCTTGGTTGCATGTCGAAGTGTCCTTGGACTGAACCCCGAATTGCCCCTGGTGCACGAATGTTAGTTTTTCCGGAGAACTTAGGCTCAGTGTATGAATGTGTATGACTGGTGAATGCAGATGTAGTGTAAAAGCACTTTAAGTGGTCGAAAAGACTAGAAAGGCGCTATACAAATACGGAGCATTTACATGGTTAGCTTAGCTTAGTACAAAGGGGAAACAGCACTTAGTATGGCTCTGACCAAAGGTAACAGAATCCACTTTGTGTTATGTGTTGAGCTGTGCTGGTGTAAAAAAGCAATTTGTCATTTTTAGGCTCCTGTTTTCCCCTGTTTTTCCAGTCTTTGCACTAAGCTAAGTTAGCTGACTGCTGATCGGAGCTATACTTGGTGGACTTACTTGGTATCAATCTTCTTATCTAAGAAAGGAAATAATTTTATTCCCCAAAATGTAAAACTATTCCTTTGACATTTAGTCAAAGACATATGGGCCAACCATAATTGTATTTTTGTGGTGTATATTGCGAGAGTTTAAGTAAAAATCTTTTAGAAGTACCACAGCTCTTCGGTTTAATACGCCAATTTTCTGATTCCTCCATTTGAGTGAATTAGGATGCAGTCTTAGAACTGTGTCTATCAACAGTGCCAGAGTTTGGTTTAGGGCTGCAACCAACAAATATTTTCAGAATCTTCACTATGAATAGAGCCATTGTGTGGTCTATGACTGTGGGGAAAGTCTTCCCAAATGTGTCTTGATAATGTGTGTTAGAAATAATAGAGGCGCCACTTAATGCAGAAAAGGCACTTACAATGACACAAAGAACACAGGAACAGCAATGCAGCTTAGCTTCACGATGCCGGCTGCATTGCGGAAACCTTCTACCTCCTTCATGGTGAACTCACTCAGTTGTCATCTCTGGTACTTATTACTGCACTTTAAACTACTGGACCAGTAACATACTGTTACATACAGTACATGTGCACAGTAAGCCGACTCCAGGCCATTATTCACCATTTTGTTCTCCTTTCCCTCACAGTTGTTCAAACAGGAAATGACTGCTTTCATGGTTTTACTCACCCACCTGTTAACTAGAAAAATAACCAAATCGTGGCCCCGGTTGCCATGGTGACTGAACATCCACAATGCCAGGAACCCGCTGTTGTCTGTCTGCTGATCCAACTGATTCTTTCTGCATCCGATAGTCACGTGTCTCTCTTCTTGAACCCTGTTAATTTGATTCAGTTCACTCTTGAAGGCCATTCTGGCGCTACTGTGTGTCGGGTTCATAGGAAGGTAAAAGGATATTTTAAATTAAGTTGTAATAACAGGGTTTTGTGTCTTTACATGTGTCAGATGGAGTTTGCCTGCAGTCATGTTGTATGTAACTGGAGTCCTGGTGAGACAGGTGAGTGTACTGATTAAAATTTTAATTTTTGTGTAACTTCTCTCTGCCTGAAAACTTTGGAAAAGTTTGCCTTTTTTACATCATCCAACTCATTTGAGATTTTATAATACTCAACATTTATGACATTGCTTTTCTGAGTTTTCAGTCTCCTTGGGCAAGATTCTGAACCCCAAATTGCTCCCAGTTGGCTGTTCAATCAGTGTATGAATGTGTAAAAATGGGTGAATCATGTGATGTAGCTTAAAAGCGCTGTGAGTGGTCAGAAAGACTAGAAAGGTGCTATACAGTACACACCATTTCCTAGATTTAATAAGCACTTTGTTAATCTTGTGCTGCATAAATTAACCTTTTCTTCTTTCCTTACTTCCTTCCAACCTTGGTGACATCTCGGTAAATCATTTGGGTGATCGTGCATTCGACTCTGCGATCATGTTACTTTTATTTTTTTGTATTAAAGTGTGAGTTAGATGGGGGTTGGTCGGATCATTTCAAGCCTGGATCGCCTATTGATTGTTTAGCAAAGACCAAAACAATGATTTTTGGCACCGTAAATCTGTCTTAATGAACATATTTTCCCAACATACACAGGTATTTCTCTTATTGAGCCCAAGTATGACAACATTGTGATTGCTAAACAGCATGAAGGTAATTATCTCTCTTTCACACTCACACACACACACACACACACACATACACACACAGCATCCATAAAGGTCGACATATTTAAGCTGTTGTTTTTCTCTCAAGAGTGTCACATTCTCAAGAGTATTGCAGTGAAATAACAGGAAAGAATATTAAGTAGTAACATCTGAGTGTGTGTGTGTGTGTGTGCGCGTGTGTGTGTGTGTGTGTGTGTGTCATGTTTTTATATTGCGGTGGGGACTTTAACCTGAATGCATGCTAACCAATAAAGACTCGTGTCACTGTGGTGACATATTGAAGGTTACCACAGGCAGATCAGACAAAATCACTAAATCATCCTCAGCACTGCTCATTTGAATAGAGTTTATTTCTTTTTTTCTGTTTTTATAATTGCTTAATATTAATGCATATTGTCTGCTAAGTAGCAGAAGGGAGTTACAAACTCAATTTCACTCTACAATCTGTTGTATTGTGACAAATAAATCAACCTTGTACCTAGGTTAGACCAATAGGTTTAAGGTAGGGGTAAACATGTAGTGACAGTAAAGGCTAGGGTTAGGGACAGGGTAAGTGGTAACGTAAGGGTTAAGGTTAGTTATGTTGCTGTGAGGCTAAGGGGCTAGGGAATAAATTATGTCAATAAGATGTCCCCACGGGGATAGAGGAACAAGCGCATGTGTGTAGGTGTGTGTGTGTGTGTGTTGGGGGGTTATGCTTGCAAATGCAAGAGATAGAGAGAAACAGTGAAGATATAAAGATAGCAATTCAGAACAGGGGAAGTCCATACACAGAAAAAGTCGTGTTCAGATAAACTTAATTATACAAGAACAAAGCCGTACTTAATTTCAGTTTTGATCAGTTTCTGCTTATTTTGTACATCCACCCACAGCCAGTGTGTCTTACCACCAAAACCTGGTCCAAGCGAACGAAACGCCACCTTCACCATGTAGTATGGATAGCTGACAAGCTGGTTCAAACTGAAAGGAAGTTAACATCCACACCCAGATCAGTTTGAGATAGTTTTATTCAACTGAAGCAGATTCAACTTGACCTTGCTTTGTAACATACTCTAATGGCGTAAGTTGTTTCCCAAATCTGTACTACTCGCTATAGCTTACTAATTCTCATCTTGTGCTGTTTTTACAGTTAGTATACAAGAAATACAAAAACACACTCATTCCCTACATGTCTGCTCTTGGATTTTTGGTTTTGGAGAGGAAGACACTGTCCTCTAAATGCTTTTAATGTTGAGTGTATGTCTTACCACGGCTCCATGCACTCTGCTTTAACATCTGAAGAAATACAAAGCTTTATAGGCCTGCCTTGCCTATGATTTGCTTTTCAGTTTGGTGGACAGTCAGCTGGGACACAGCTATCGTTTTTATCTTAATGTGAATTGTTATTGGTGGTCTTCATTTCTTTCTTTCTTTAGATCCACTTCCTCCACCGCTACCTCCCCGTCGTTTTAGAAAACCTCGTCCTACATCTCTGCCTCTGCCCCCTCTTTCCTCCTACCAGCCTCCACTCGGTCCTCCATCCCTCCCGCCACCTGTCCCGCCCAGATGTGAGTTTTGTTGAACCCCTGATTGTCTTAAATAAATCGTGAGTGTTACAAAGTTATATTTCAATGTGGTGTTTTATCAGTTGACAAGCTGGAGGGACAAACCAGGCTGAACGCCAACGTCAATGTCGTCTCCCTCAGCATTGGAAAACTGGTCAACATCAGCCAAGGTCCGAGGACACACACACACACACACACACACACACACACACACACACACACACACACAAACACCTGTTCCACTGTTCGTTTGACACCTATTTCTCCGTCTCTAACCAGCCTCAATCCTGGAGTGTTTTCAGAGCCCAGTGATTTGTGGGAAATGTAGTGCTGCCTTGTCATGTCTGAGTTCTACAGAGAGGAATGTGAGTGGTAATTTATTTCACCTTTTCCTTTCTGCAGTCACGTACTTGCCAAGTTTTTGTTCAGTGAGCTTTTTCCTCTACACTGTCAAAACTTTTCTTTGTTTATTTGTTTGAGGTATAGTTTTATTAATCAGTGGAAGGGGGGTTAGGGTGTTAAACAAAATAAAAATAAAACAACTCCCCTTCTCTTCCTCTTCCCCAGGTTTGGGTGTGTGAGTTCTGCGGATATGAAAACAGCATAAACGACAGCGTGAACAGAGTGTGTGTTGGTCAGCGTACAGGTGTTCACAGTGACGACCTTTACCTGCCGAATCAGAGTGATGATGACTACCAAAACCTGGAGGACACACTGGTGGTGTTCTGTGTGGACATTTCTGGCAGCATGAGTGTCACTACAGAGGTGTGTGTGTGCGTATTTAAATGAAGCAATGTCAGACGTTCAGAGGGGAAATGTCTTTTTGGTGGAACTACTAACAACCCACAGAAATTTGAAACATGGTGTGACACCACGACTACCACACTGCTTTTTATGTAAGAGGTTGTAAGCAAATAATGTTTGGAAGCACTGGTATAATGTTTATTAACATGAGCTTTATATATTTATATCATAGCCTATAATGTAAAATCTTAATTTTAAAAGTGACTAGTAACTTTTAAAACTTTGTTAGTTAGTAGTAGCAGTAATAGCCACCATGTTTCTTTATACCATCTATATGCTGAACAGGAAGGAACGCTACCTCCAGGAAACTTCACCAACAATTTCAAGAAAGGAAAACATCACAGTAACAATGCAAAGTTTGTTTGGAGGCTACATAAAAAAATACTACCTTAAAGCACCAGCACCCATGAAAGTCAACGTATCTAAGATGTTGTTTTTCTTTCAAGAGTGTTCATCACCTACTCAAGAGTATTGCAGTGAAATAACAGGAAAGCGTATTTAGTGTGTGTGTGTGTGTGTGTGTGTGTGGGCACACATCCTATCTTTGGTGTAATGCACTTTGTTTCTCTATACTGTCAAAACTTTTGTTTTTGTTTGAGGTATACTTTTTAATTATCAGTGGTTAAAACAAATGAGCATTAAAATGAAAAATACGTCTATGTAAAATGATCCCCATAAATCTTTATACGTATCATCTTTCTAACATGTTTGCTCCACTTTAGGTTCCTTCAACCAGTGGATCTCCAGCATACATATCCAGACTAGAGGTGAGATGTTGATTTGTTGTTTGTGTGGTTCACTACTAAACTGCTAAGGGGCTGAATACACTCTTTACCCATTGTAATAAAACATGTTTGACGTGAGGTGGTATTAAAAACTGTTGCTCGTTTTAACTGTTGCTTGGTTGTTTTTTCCACAGGGTATGCAGGATGCCCTGCAGAAGGCGCTAAAATCCCTGCTGCAGCAGTCCCCCCACAGGAGAGTGGCACTGGTCACGTTCAACGATGAGGTAGGAGAAATAATGTTTTCCATTTTAAAATTAAATAATTAATGTAAAATCTAAAGACAGGTCACTATTAAAGATTGTATGAGACTGAACTAAGAGGTTTACACATGTTTAGCAATGTAACTAAATGAGTAAATGTAAGATAAGATAAAACTAGACCTGCCATTACCTCAGTATTACCTCAATCCAAGAACATATACCAGACATTAAAGACATTTAAATGTTCAAGACACCTTTAACATAAGACAGACCTTTTAAAAAAACAAGGAACAGAGCAATACTGACAGTCAAGACACCCAGGAATCACCTACAAAAATAATTAAATATACTAGAAAACACTTGACTCGTCCTGCCACATCAAAAGCAAGACTTCCTGATTGTTTCTTCTGAAGGGAAGAAAATGCCACAATATCTCCAACTACAGTAGAGTTTTTCAATCTTGGGTACTTGGGATTCCCTGTGAAAATATAAATTACTTGAAGCTTTTCTACTTGGAGGTAAAATTGTGCTATTCTAATATAAATGCTGTCATGCTTTAATACCCTGTGATCCTCTAACCTTCCTTACAGGTTGTAATATACGGTGATGGTACTAGTACTCCACTCACTCTCAGGGATTGGGCGTTGGTCGACTACGACCATATATGGCAACAGGGTGTGGCCTATAGCATCCCTCACTGCATCGCTGAGACCTACAACCAAATAATACACAGTGTCAAAGAGTAAGTGTGTTTGTGCGGCCAAGGTGGAAAGTTAAAAGCTCTGTAGACCATCCCTTTGGTACAGAACTGAATCTGTGTTTTTATTATTTCTGTATATCCAGGCTCAGGGAACATGGGGCTACTTGTCTTGGTCCTGCAGCGTTAGCCTCAGTTGCCATGGCATCCAGGTACCCCGGGTCAAAGGTGAGTGTAAAGAATTTTAAAGGAATAGTAAAGTCGCTTATTTGCTTTCTTGCTGGGAATTAAATGAGAAGATTCTACTATTTCTACTATTTCCAGGCAAGAAATGGTCCGCCGCACGATCCCGTCTAAAAATGCTACTTGTACACTAATGTTTGTGTATCATTTAAATGAACAAGATATAACATGTTCACCCTTTAATTCTTAGGTCTGGTCTTCAGTGAACCAGCACTTATTCTCAGCATACCTGTTATATTTCATGTTTATATTGTATTTTCTTACACATTGGCTACACCTTCCAAACCCAAAATGAGTGACTTGTTTCAACATGGTTACATGCACCACCAGAATCAGATTTATTGCCACATTGATTTTACACATACAAGGAATTTGTTTTTGCGACTGGGTGCTCAACAACAATAAACATAAACCTATATAAATAAAGTATTTAAAAAAGTACTTTTAAGTAATCAGATCTGATGATGCTGCTATGAGAGTCAGTGTCCGCGGGGGACCCGGGCCTTGTTGATGAGGCCAGCTGCAGATGGGAACAGAGTTGGCTGTCTGAAGCAACTGCTGTCCCGTGTTGGTGTCAGCCACGATCTTTCCTGATTTTATCATTTATTATCTTGAGTATGTGTCACTTTATCAAAGTGAGGCAACTGATCTGCCGAATCTCCCATCCCATCTTTACAATGATGCTCGCCATTTGACAACCGCCTGTGTGGACTGGCAACTTAAAGACACAACAAAGAGACTTGTGGGTAATGGAGTTCCTGATCTTCTGTGTTCTGCAGGTGATTTTGTGTACTGACGGCCGCGCCAACATCGGACTTGGTGAGATTGAGCTAACTCCCTCTCTGTCCTCCTCTCCACTTACTCAATATTTCTACAAACAGCTGGCTCAACAGGCTGTTAGGAGTGGGTGAGGACACACACACACACACACACACACACACAGAGTTGTATGATGAACAGAATGTATTGATACAGAGATGTTATGGCCTTGCTTGTAATGCATGTGCTCATTATTGTGTAAATGAATCTAATTAAATCAAAAGTATAGAATTAAATCCGTTCTTTTTTTCTTCTTCTCCCAGAGTCATAATATCAGTAATGACTTTTGAAGGGACAGATTGTTGCTTGGCTGACGTTGGGAGACTTGCTGATGCTACTGGAGGAAGGGTGAGACACGCACGTACTTTCACATAAGTACAATTGCTAGCACTGAGGAATGCTTTCAATGAATGCAACTGAACTGAAATGATCTGTAACCTTTACTTGACTTTTCTTTTTACCATTGCTTTTAATTAAATATTTACATGGTGAGAAATGAGTAGGTAATTGAGTGAAAAGATGAGATGAGAGTGAGACTGAACAGAGTGAAGGAAGTGGTCTTAAATCTTGCGCCCGAGTGATTTGCAGGAACCTCTGTCCACCTGTAAACACGCAGGTGGGTCTAGAGTATAACTGCAAAGGCCTGCTGACAGACATGTCCTGGTTTCTCTGTAGTGTCCGAGGGTTTTTGGAGTTTCAGTGGACCCAAAGATTGCTGTTCTTTAACATGTTTTTTTAATGTTGACTGGTAGAAGTTCAACCATCTAACGTGCATTTCTGATTGGGTATACTAGCGGCTTAAGTACCTTTTACAGAGCTGCTAGTCTGACAGTCGACTTTTAGTCTTGTTTGGATTGATTTCCATTCAGGCAGCTGTTTGTTTGTGATTACTAATCTATCATAGAGATGGTTTCATCATTTATTTTTCCCCTAATAGTGCAGTTGTGAGTAGGATCATATAATATTCTCTAAGATTCCTGGTTAAAGACATGCACGACATGTGGACTGAAGTATTGAAATGTGTGTGTTGCTATAGCATGGTGTGATGTAGCAAAACAGATTACACGTGTATGGTATAGTAGCTAAAGAAAACAATCTAATTATGTATGTACATGCTATGAATGAATAATCTTGACTTGTAAAACTCATTGTATATATTTCTGTTCCCTTTCCTGCACAGGTGAACATGGTGGACATCGGTACTGTTGCAAAAGAGATCCAGTTAGCCTCCATCGACAACGTCCTTGCAACAGGAGTCACTGCAACCCTGTTAGCTTCTGATGGAGTGTGAGTGAGGACTGACAACAGTAATACATTAACAGGAACTTTTCCGGTTGTTTTATATGTAAACCCACCAACCTAAACGACAACATAAGTTGCTTTATCCATCTAGTGGAGTATTTCCATGCCTTCCAAAACTTTGGTTAGGGTTAGGAAAACACTGTGGTTTGGGTTAAAGTAAGTACATTGTGTAAGTCACGTGATGGAGGTCAGTCAGTAATGTTATGTAAATTAAAACTCAAAATAACATTTATTTGGTTTCACATGGAACTCAAACACTCTCAAGTGTATGTCCGGCGTTTGACCCATCCAACCATCCCATCCTGCCTCCTTCTTTGGACTTTCTCCCTATTTATAATACATCACTGGACTTCCTGCTTTGCTACTGATGTAAATATGGGTCATATTTATGTGCTGCACACACAACCTGTATTGTTGTTTTTCTGGTGAGGACAGTCTCAAACCTACCAACGATGAGAACATAGATACCAAAATAATCCACGTCCGTGGTCCATGCTACTATAAGTCTGGTGTAAATACTGTATAACTATATAGCTATAAATATGCCAAAATACTAATTTAAGTGCTTTCTGTTCATAAATTCTCCCTTTCCTATTCATTGCATCTATACCTGGGAAACCTAGCTCGTGGCTTTTTTTTTTTTTTTTACTATTTTCTCTCGCTTTCTCTGTAGGTATTTTCCATATGAGGATGAAAACAATCACAAACTGGTGAGAGAGATAGGGAATGTGACCAAGGGGCTGGAGATCACCGTCCAGTTTGCTGTAAAGCCAGAGTTTATGGACGGTAAGACCGGTGTTACTGGCCAAACAAAATAAATTTCAATAGATAGGTTACACCACATTGTGGGGACCATGACCTGGCAGCCCACTGACATTGTGGGGACTCACACCCCAGTGGTGTGTTCTGTTTGCCATAACGAGCACATAAAATGAAATAGAAAGAATTGAACATACTTAACTGATTAAATTTGGCACTAGGTGCTTCACAGAGCAGCCAACGTCCAAATCCAATTAATAGTATAAAATAAACTGTTATGCAAAGATGTAATGTGTGTCAATGTGTGTGACAGTGTGTCTCCAGAAGGAAACACTCCCATTTCAGCTCCAGCTGAGGTTCAAGACCAGAGACCAACAAAACGTCACTCGCATCATTACCGAACAACGACCAGTTACTATCAGCAGGTAAACAATACTCTAGTCACCACTGCCACTTTTAAAGGCAAAATCACCAACTCATTTACAGAAAACTGTAATTGCTTCATGTGCTGTTATATGTCGCTCTGCTTCTATCTAGATTGTTTTTATTATTCAACAATTGTGCCATCATCTACTCTCTGTAGATTATCTTATGTCTTTTAATTATTTTCTCATCTGGTCTCTTTGTGTCCTTGTGCCTAGTTTTTAAGGTTGGTTGTTGGGACTGTGTTGTCCTGCATCCTCTGTCTATTGTTTTATGTTTTTATTTATATCCCAGCACCCTTTCCCCTTTCTTAATTAACTTGCCTGGTAAAATAAAGCTATAATAAAATTTAAAAAATTAAAATAACACTATAGGGTAGAATACTGAGCTGTGTAATACTTTTGCAGTATTGACCTGATTGTATCCATAGTAAAGATCAAAAACTGTCATAGTTGACACATTAGTTAGTTAAATACTCAAGTAATTATCCTGTGATACATACCGTCAATGTCTGTGCTTTAAATTATACCATAATTTTAATTTTAGGCCATACTGCCCAGCCCTAGTGAGAAGTATGAATCTTTTATTTTTTTGGAATGCTTATACTCAAATGTAATGCTTTGCCATGTATATGCAGTGTATATATAAGGGTGTCATTTTAATATCACTGTTGAAACTTGAGTGTTGTGAATGCATTCTGCTGTGTTATTTTATCTGTCTTTTTCTCATGTCCTCTGTCTGAAGCCGGATTTGGGCTGGTAGCCTCAACATGGCGGTGCTTGGTGTTCACTGTGCTCAGCTCTGTGCCAGTTTAACCATGGAGGGTCGAGTGCAGGAAGCACAGAGGCAACTAAAAGCACAGCAAGACCTGCTCAACCAAATCAGGTATGACTCTCTGACCTCTGAAATCATGTTTCTACCAGGCACCATTAAAAAAAGGAATTATTTTCAGACAAGATGACAGTCACATAAGCTAATATATATATATTTTTATAATTTAATCACTATTTGAAAGTTTGAAAATCATCACTTACCCGTAGTATGCCCTTGGTTTACATCACATTGTGGGGACCCAGACCTGTCAGCTCACAATTGTGGTGACTCTGACTGTGTTTGGGTGCGTGCATGTGTGCCAACCTGGCAGCTCACTCCTTTTTACCATAAACTGTTGATTTTTGACTTTGCCTTTTCACACCAAGTCTGTATTTTTTGTCTGAAATTGTTGCTCGTTTACACACCTTTGAAACTTTCATCCCTCACTAAAGTTTTCAGAACAAGTTCTATTTTCTGCCCTTTTTTTTTGCATCCATCAAAAGCACAGTATATTTTCATAACTCAAATAGCCCATTTTCAACAGGTCAGACGGGTCAGACTTTGTGTGCAAATGTCTCCACTGGGATACAGGAACAAACGTGTGTGTTTGTGTTTATTCTGGTTGTTGTTGCATTTCCCCTTTCACATAGTAAGCAGAGGCCAATCCAAAAGGAAGAGAGCATTTATGGCAACTGGATGGACACCATGACGACAATCTGTGACGACATCACCACAGAATCCCAGGTAATCGTACATTTCACCATTTCATTCGTTCATATCAATGAAAGCGATAAATTCATTTTCAGTAATTTGAGATTTTTCTTTCCTTAAAACTAAAGAGTGTCCGGTGAAATAATTTCATCAGTAAAACAAAGTCAAATGACAAGAGTGAAGCTGGCTGTTTCCACCATCTCCAGCTTCTAGCTTTAGCTTCATATTGATAGAAATTAAAGTATCAATCTTCTTATCTAACTCTGAATAAATGTATTTTCCAACATATTGATCTACTACTTTAAATCGATCTGAAAATCAAAGTTCCCTTTAAACAAGGCAAACGTATGGGACTGCTTGTGTCACAGAACTCTAGTTTGTAACCTCTTTCCTCCTGCAGACCCTGTCTGATGAGGCAGCTAAGATAATGTACCAGATGAAGAGAGCCAGCAGCGTCAGCAACAACAACAGCAACACAACTGAGATCCCAAAGAAGACACAGAGGAAGAAGAAGAAGGCACTCATGGAAGCAATATAAAGAAATCAGTCATCCGCAAATACGGAGACATTATTTCATATTTGGCCATATTGGCTCACTTAAACTTGTTAAGCAGGACTAGAGGGATGTTCATTGCACAGCTGACTGTGAAGGAATAATTTAACAAATGACGTGAAAAGCACAGAGCACTGTTTACTCAAACAAGAAAATTAAACATGATTAAATAACCAACAAGGTGCAAGCTTGAAAAAGATGAGGTTAACACATGACTTGTGGGTCTGACTGAAAAAGAGCTCGGAGGACTTATTCATCTTTCATCTGTCAGTTCATATGCCACGTCTGTTTTAGCTTGTCATCATAACGTGTCAATATTCACAATTTACATTAGGAAAATGTGTTGAAATTGGGCCTTTTATCACAAACCAGACTCACGGAAGGCTACAGGTGAAAGAGGGAACATGGAAGCCTCAGTATTAACACATCATTTAGTTTCATACTTAATCCATCACACTTGTAACAACGCAGGTTTCTGGTCAACAGTCAACTTTTTCTCAGCCTTGAAACGTCGGTGATGGCGCACTGGATAAGACACATGCCTTTGGTGTGACAGAGCCAGGTTCGAATCCACTGTGACACATCAATGTGTCCCTGAGCAAGACACTTAACCCCTAATTGCTCCAGAGTAAGTTGCTTTGGATAAAAGCGTCAGCTAAATAAATGAAATGAGGCCCGGAGTGAAAGCATCAAGTTCAGGACAGGATGTTATTGGCAGCTGCAGAACTTCCCAGAACAATGAGGGACACATACAAACATTATATCAGGGCAGATTGTCATGAGAAATGTAGACAAACAAATCTGTATTGTATTTATTTGGATTTCTGTTTTATAGGAAATATAAATCATAAAAGGGAACAGATTTGTTTCATGTCAAATAAAATGATCTGATCAGTCTTTTTAGAATTCTTCCTGCCTTTGTATTTTATATAATGTTTATAAACAAGTTATTCTACCTCAATTTTTGAGCACTTTGGAAAATGACATTTGTGGCAATAAGCATATTTTTAAAGGTCTAAGACTTGTACAACATATTGAGCATCTATAAAAGGAGGATGTTCCATTTTGCTCAAATTAAGCAGGCACTGTTGGGCAAAACGAAATGGCCCCTGACATGGTGTTGTAAATGGGAAGTTCTTTGTGAAGTCTGAATGTTGTAACGGTAAAATGTTTAGACAGTAAAATACATATTGATCTGTATCTTGACATATTGCCTAACTCAAAAGTGCAGATTTGACACAGATTAAAAAAACATATAAGAAGCTTGTTTTGAGTGCTTTAGCCTTTTATTGGTGCATAAAGAATTAAAAAGATAACACAATACAAGATTGTGCTAAAAGCATTATACATTCAGTAAACACAAAGAGACAATTCATCTCTGGCTTATGTCACATGTAGCTTCATTCCATAAGTAGCATTGCAGCGGTAATGCATGTGGAGAAATATAGAGCCTTCAGGTTAGATAGGAGACTGATGACACAGACAGACAAGTCATAATCACGAACACACGTTCACCAGTGTTCCTAATTTTGACAGGTACTTCATGCCTCTGCGTTACACAAGGAATCTCTATGGTCAGGGTGGCTGGGACATAGTGGAAGATGTTGACTTGTTGGTCAGCTGAGTCCCTGCTTAAGAAAAAAAAAAGAAAGGACATGCATCTCTGTAAATTTAAACATTTCTCTGTAAATTACTGGTCATCTTATACCAAATGTGGATTTACAGTATAGTCCGGTGTCTCCCACATGTTTTGTCGCCATACTATATTAATTGCACCATACAATAGCACTGGGATCAGCACTTGCATGTGTACAAAATGGTCATACACACACAAAACAACTCAAAGCATTGGCATTAACACGCACCATCAGCTCTGGCCAGAGCTATTACGGGGCAATCAAGTGCAGACACAGCCAGCATCTTCATGGTAGATATGATGCAGATGTTACATACGTTAATTGCCTTCAATAAAGAAACACAGACAAGTCAACAATACTTGTGAAGGGAGGATAAATGAGATAAAAGACAGAAGAAACGAGGTGGAGCGAGGAAAGAGAAGAGTCAGAAAACCTGCTGCAGAACTATCTTCTTCTTTTTGGCCTTCCTGTGTAAAAGTGCAAAACAAGAACAGTTCTTATCTTAGGCTGTACTGTGTTTTAATCTATTACCAAAAAGGCCACAAAGAAAAGAGCTCAGTGTGCAGAATTTGGCATTCACTTATTTTCTTGTACTTAATAATATAAATATAATATAAACATCATCATGGCTTGCCATTTTACAAAGTTTAATTTTATTTTAATTGGCATGTTGATACTGAAGATATTAATAAACTACACAAAGTATTTCATTTGTTTTCCTACAATATTTGCTCTGGCAATGCAGCATCTGCTCATAGCAGCCACATCGTTATCAAACACCTTTATGGTGATGTTCAGGCACCCACAGTACGTGGCTAAGGTAAGGGATCACGGTCTTGGTTAAACACTGAAAATGTCTGAAGACAGGTTTAGTGTATTGACATTTAACACAATGTTACCCTAACCTCTTATTTCCTAAACCTAACCACATGCAGGACTCAGGATGTGGACCTGTGTCTTGCTCGCCCACCATCCACCTCTCTGTTACTTGCTTGCACTAAATAAATGTAGCACTTTAATATCTAGTCTGCAAACTGACTGCACTTTCCCCCCTTTGTTTGGTCGCTTATTCAACAAGCTAAGGTGCAGAATAAGACGTTTGTTCATTCTTATTCTCAATCCCTCACACCTAAGAGCAATTTAGAGTCACCAATTAACCTAGGGGAGAACATGAAAACTCCACTCTGACAACCCAGGACCTTCTTGCTGTGAGGCGACCTGTTAACCTGTACCATCGTGGCACCCAATCTGACCTCTGTTAAATATAAAACCCTTTCATGAAGTGACTACTTCATGAAGTGAAACCCTCCTCTCTGAAATATATGTGACAAAGATACAGTGAAAACTCTGATGCAATAATTTGCAAGTAATAATAATAATAATAATAAGTTTCCCCATCTAGAATTTCACATCAAAATTTTCTGTTTTTTTCCCATAACAAGAAAGATACTAGAAATAATACGATGTAATATTAGTGACACCAAATTTTCCTTTTCTCTGTGTAATCAGTTTATAAAAATATCACCACATGTATTAGATAATTGAATTTCCTTTATTACACAATTAGCCTACAAAGAACAGGGCACTGGTGATACAGCAAGAAAAGATGCGACAAAGATACCGTGATAACTGACGCAATAATTTATCGACTTCCCCTTTCTTGAATTCACAAAACGGAAGACAAACGTACTGGGCAAAGCATCAGGGTTACTGGTTACTTTATTATATCTATTGAGTATATCTGCAAGTCATGTTGAAAGAGACACATTATAATATCTTTACATGGTACTAGCTGTAGAATAATTTGTTTACTTGTTAAATGTTTTAAAAAGCATATGTATATACTAAATTAAACAACTATTTTTAATATATAAGAACATTTATTTTAATTTGTCCAATATTCTGTTTCATGGCAAAAGACCTTGAAAACTAATGCCATTCTTGTCAGCCTCAGCAGTACTTTTATTTAGTTATTAAGTGCCAATTCAGCAAATGTTAACTAGTAAACAATATATTCAACATTATTGCTTGTTAAAGCATGAAAAATGGGGCAAACTAGGTCTAAGCCACGTGTCTGATTGGCTATTCCTCTCTGAGCATACATGTGATTATCCAATAACAAAAACTAATCTTTGTTTTTAGTTTCTGTGTTGTCTTACGTTTCAAAGTGCTTTCTACTGAAAACATTAACCAGGTTACTCCTGTTAACTACGCTGTGTCTGACATACTGTGGCAATGATGTTGCATGCGTGTGTCTTTTTTCTGTCAGCTCCCCTTGAACGCACACGAACAGATCACAAAACAGGAAACCGAGGGTACACAAAACCACACATAGAAACACCATTGTGATATAACTTAGAGGCACAATCTGTGACCCAAATGTACAGTATATGCAAAAGTAGCTTTACACTATCTTAAAGGTTTAAAAGAGTAGAACAATCCTGTATTATCAAGAAACGCATAAAGGAATTGTACTAGGGCTGTCCCAGGCTAAGTCCAATCAGAATCGCCAAGTCCTGCCTATAGTCGACTGATAGTCAAATCGTGTGTGTTTTTCATGTGCGCGGGCGACGATTGCGATCCGAAGCTAAACTGAGGCTTATTGTCGACCATTTTCTATCATGTGTCCACCATTCGTGCTGCCGACAACTGCATGCACGTCGCGGTTCCTCCCAGGTCTATTTCAAGTAGCCGGCTTTTTAAAAAATATTCTTTGTGTAGTTCATCAACAGTGATAAATTATCCGAAAATCCCGCGAGGTGCGGACAACTCGGCACAACACCAATGAAGCTGGGGCTCCGTCTCTTCCACAAGTGTTTCTCCACTGCCCCTTCACACATACACGCTACGCCTACACATGTGCACTGACGACCCAGGGTTAGGGTTACAATTTTGGATTTATTCACGCACTTCAAAAACATTTATTGAAAGTTTTATTCTTTTTACGTGTTTATTTACAGCATTTCACGTTGAAATGTATATTGTAATAGGCTATATATTAACTTATTGGGAGAAAACCATGGTAGTTCTATGTAAAATCAGACATTGAGCACCCCATATTGCCAAAATGACATGATCCTTGTTTCACTGCGAAGCTTCGACTTTAAAGCTGATGATACACGGGCAACTTTTTGAGCAATGTTGCTGGGCAATCTTGCTAGGAGCAAGTCCGACTATGTTTTGAACGGAGAGCGGCGGTGCAGGGCAGGTGGCGGAGTGGTGGGGGAAGGGGACTACGGTAGTAAACTTTATAATAATAATAATAATAAGCTTTATTTATATAGCACTTATCAAACAAAGTACAAAGTGCTTCACAACAAATCACACATAAAATACAAAATTAAATAACCACGTGGGTAAAAGATACAGGGGGATAAAATACAGAATGTAAGAACAAGGATCACAATAAAGTATAACAAATATGTTCAGTTGGAGGTAAGGAAGATAAGACAAGCAAACAAAGTGATAAGACTGGTAGGGCAGGAATAGTAAAACAAGTGGCAGCTCAGATAAAATCTGGATATGCTTTCTGGTAAAAGTTTTGTTCTTAGTCTGGCTGCAGGAACAGACAGGTGGCCCTTGCCAGAAGATCTTAGGCCAGGAGAGGGCTCATACAGAGTTAAAATATCTATACTTATAAACTTTACTCATTATCATTGAGGGCAACATTACCCTGCACGATTGCTCTAAAAGTTGCTCTGTGTATAATCAGAAATATTGTCGAATCAGGCTCCGCCCATCGCAGCAGCATCGAATCTTCAACTATTGGGGGTCAGCCTTAAATTACACGCTTTCAACGGTAACAACATAAACAAACGATACTGCACATGTGCATTACTCTGGCCCAAACTTAACTTCCGGCAGACTTCCGCAAGCAATTCATAACAAGTAAATCACCTTAGCTGCCAGTCGAAGAAAAGAATCGTTACTTGGCCAAACTGAAATGTGATAAGGTCACACTAGCAGACCCCTTGAACAAAAATTTGAGACAACAATGTTTTTCTACCGACCAGTCTGATTTACCACAGGGTTTCCCACAGAATGACAGCGTAACTGTGGAGATCTCCGACATTGACGTTGGACGGATTTGTGCAGCGGTGTTCATGATACAAACCATTCAATACGCAGACTGGTCCACTGTCAATGTGTTTGCGGGAGAGAGAGGAGCGAATATGCGCTGCCGGCAGCTCTGCAATCAAATACAAGTTTTCCCATCTTAAATAGTAAAAAAAACAAAAATATACGGGAATCAATATGTGGCGGTCAGCGCTGATAATGTGGTGGGCCGCCACAAATAAATGAATGTATGGGAAACACTGTACTGGATATCACTCACCATATTAGCCAGTAAACACAAAGCCAGTAATAAACAAACAGAACGGAAGTTGACTTTGGGCCAGGTGCGTCACCTTGGCAACGCATCCGATGAAAGCGTCTATATTTGAATATTCATGATATTTACATGTAGTGGTGCATGTTAAATTAAAAAGGCAAAACAGTAAAGTTGTTGGGGTACTGATTTTAAAACAAAAATAATGCAGTATTTATGTAAACATCGCATATAAAATGCAGTGACTTTTAACTGACGACTAGTGACTGGGTTCACGGGAGAACAGAGTAACTTGTGTAG